TAAATATATATATTTTTTTATTTTATGGTGAATTATGACCCTTGCTTTGAAAGCATTCGGGCTCCAAAAAAAACAACACTTTAATTGGTTATACAAAAATATTGCAATATTTTACGAATTTTTTTTCGGGTGTAACAAAACAAGAGCAGTACAACGATACGCGAGTTATTGCATCGAATTAATAACGGTTGATAACAGTATTGTTTTCAAATAAGTAAATAATGTAATATAAATAGGAATATATTGTTTGATTGGTTTTAAAATTTTTAGCTTATTTCTAGAACACAACTTTGATTTTTAAACCGGGCTAAGGAGGAAAAAATGTTTTATTCCGATTATTTTAATAAGATTTATTATTAGTTTATTTGCAGAGCAATCATTTTCAATTTTAACTATTGAGTATTCTCTTCATTTTTGGTAACTTGATATAAAAGTATATTTTTTGTTAATTGTAGTATCTTTTATCTGTGCATTAAATTTATTTCGCATCTGATAAATTTTTAATTTTGCAAGAATGTACTATTCATTTGAATTTATTTATAAATTGATAGATGAAAGACACCACAATAAATGAAAAATATATTTTCAATTAAAATTAACTTAAGTCTATTCAGAATTTATTGATTAAAATTGAAACTCTATCGATTTGCAAATAAATTAATAATAAATATCATTAAAATTATTAAGATAATTAATGATAGAAATAGTTTTCTGTCATTATGGACAAAGGACAAAGATGATATTAATATAATATTGTATCTCTAGGTATTATCAATAGTAGAATAGAAATGGTTTAATCTCGCAAAAATGTCTATGGCCAGAAAAACAACTATTATTTTAAAAATTTAATATTTTACCATGATACATTATAAAATTATAATATTAATATCTAATGAAAATCTTGAATAAATAATTAAAATTATACACACAGCGTATTTGCTTCTTCTACAATACGTCCAATACAAGCAGCTAAAAAGTAATATGTAATTGCGATTTAATGCTCTAAAATATATAATATAAGCTTAATTTGATAAGATAAACGATTTTCATTAGTCGTCTTTGTTATATTATACTATATGTATTGAGGAACTTTACAGGGTTTATTCAATTATATATTAATAATATATCTCTGAATAAACCGTGAAAGTACCTTGAGGCGCCTCTGAATTCTTTTATGATGATTTATTGTGTTGACAATCTTCCGCACAGAGTGCATATCATCTTTAATATAATATTATTGATCAAATGTGGAGCACCATTCAAATTTAGAACTTACTTCTAACTTTTTAAACAAATTATATATCATATACATATGAAATGAAATACGATTTTATGAAATAAATTGGTTATATTAATTAGATCAAGTTACTATGATTTAACGTTCGAAAATTCGAAAATGTCTATATTAAGAACCACCCTAATATAATATATATATATATATATATATATATATATATATATATATATGTATCAAGCTATAATCGACTATTAACTATTTCTCATAAATAATACAATTACTTACCAATTGATTAATTTCATTTGATTATCAACACAGAAAATTTATTGGCACTTCCATTTTATTAGCATTCACTTTTGAAAAAGACTTTCACTGCTAAACACTGCACGAATATTAATTTCAAGAAGCCTTCCATTTCCACAGATGTACGATGAAATTAAAGGCATTACAAATAAAACCTAAAACCAGAGAATAGAAAATTAATTGATAAAAATAGTTATGTTAAGACATAATACATAATAAATTAAGAGAGCAAAATTGACAAAAGAGTCCTTTTTTTCAATAATTAAATCTTTGCAAAACATACGTAAAATTTGATAAAAATATATTTACACATCGAATTGAAGTCAAACGAACTAATCAATTATGACAGAAAATTTACTAAAATTTACCTCACTAAGGGTTCTTTAAGCGAAAAGATGCATTAAAGCTCGAAAGCTTGCATTTTCAAAATTTACAATTGCAATTGTGTTGAACCGTAATTTTGGCAACTTTTTAATTTGTGATTAAAAACCAGCTTCACCATAAATTATCAAATATAGCATTTTGAAATTTGAACGAGTGCGAAATAAAAAAATTCAAAAAGTACTTACTATTTTTTAAATGTAATAAAAACCCCAGAAGAAGCAAAAGGTGGTAATTTCTCTGTAAACAATTCCGAAAATCACTAAAGTTTGACATTATTTTTTTAGTTTTCAAATTTATTACTTCACTATATTTAATCAAAAATCAAAAAAATATTTTGACAAGTACCACAAAGTGAACTATCTTGTTTGATAATAATACGTAGTACCAAAGTATATAATATAAGTCAACTTGTCTATACTAAGGCTAAATATCACAAAAGTTAAATAGTATTATAATTCACCTTGTGGTGAACATGCAATACTTCCTCAAAATGTATGAATTCTATTATATAAACATAAAAATATATTCCCGGTTAAAATAGTAATGTTATGGCAACTCAATGTTACGGATCTATCTTGGTATGAATTTTTAGTAACGAAGGAATAAAAATGTTAGCAATATTACTTCAAATGATGACCAAATCCAATTGCTATAAAGCAAATACATAGTATTTTCGCACTTCGTTACGACGTTACCAGTTACCAATACTTCGTTACCAATTCATACGAAGATAGACCCGTAACATTTTTATTTCATCGGAACATTGATGCCAATGTGGATATATTTTATTCCTATCATTATTTTCTTATTGGATTTCATATAAAAAGTGCCCAATCACTTTAATTTTGCATTTAAAATGCAATTGTCCTGTGTAGATGGAAGAGCATTGTGCTTTTGAAGTACTACTTAATCCAAAATGACCTGAAAGCTTTATTATTTTCAAAGGGTAGCTTCAGTGAGGTAATATATGTAATTATTGCATTTTTGTATTTAATAACTTCCCGAAGGCTAAGTTATAGTAATCGCAAAAAAATCGAAAATAAAGATTTTTGCATATCTTTATGTTTTATTGTCTTCTGAACATTTTGGCATACTTTAGAAAAAATTGATATATGTGTGATATTGTGTGTATGTATGTGTGTGTGTATGCGTGTGTGTGTATGTATGCGGATACAAATTTTCGTCAACGATTTCAGAAACACGGGTCAATCGATTTGAATAATTCAAAATCATTCAATTCGTATTGATAACGAATCAATTCGTAATTGAAGATAAGGGACAAAAAGTGCCAAAAATGATTATTACACATATGAACATCACATTATCTCAAATTTTATAGATATTTTAATAATAAGAACAAATTTTGTTTACTTTTCTATAAGTTCAGTATCAATGTTTATCCGTTATACTGCAAAGTAATCGCTAACGTATTGCGATTCCTGTAAAAACAAACGTTCAAAATTTCCAAAATATTTTAAAATATAAAAAAATAAAATTTCTTAAAAAGGTCAATTCTTCTCAAAAATTTAAAAAATCCCAAATACCGATTTTTTTTCAGAGCTCTAAAAGAAAATTGAATCTTAAAAATAGTAATTTTTGATACAGGAAGTTCCAGTGATGCCATGCACCACTAGTTTATCTATTCAACTTATCTACCAATTCATCTCACTTCACAAATAGTGGCTGCCATCTCTTTGATACTTGAACAATGAGAGTTGGCTGTAGAGCTTTTTTGCGTATGCACGTGTCGATAATTGTTTAACTTTTTAATTAAATTCAGTAATGAATTTAATTAATTCATGCATCATTTCAATCAAATTATTATACCAACCTCACGTGAAACAAAGTTGAAAAGATGCTTCTAAAAACTACAGAACAGATATCTGTTAAAGCCCTTTCTACGTTTCCTTATAATTTATCACATTCTCATTCAGAGCTCTGAATTTACTAATTATAATTTATAGTCACATGCATTTTATTATATCCTATATATTCATGTTTAAAATTATTAACAAAAGCTGAACAAACAGTTATTTTCCAAATAAACGACATAGTTACATGTAATCTAGGCGCATTTCTGATTAATTTCTCACATATTTGTAATACAAATTTATCTATAATAGATAATTATAAATGTACGTAGAAAAACTTTTCCGCTGTAATTGATATAATAATTGATCCTATAATTGATTATGGAAAATTTTAACATCAATATATCTCCTAAAAGTTTATGAAAACTAAAAGAAATATATAAATAATAAGAAAATAATATAAGACTGCGCTATGCGTGAAAAGTGTATTTGTGACACCATAATCAAACATGTTTGTGATATATACAATTTAAATCATCAGTACAAAATTAATAAATCTATTGGAAACAGTTATAAGTGATTATATATATACTTAGTATATAATTAGCAAAACTATCGCAAAGTGCATAATTAGTGCGCCTGCGTACATTTATTATCTAAATCTTTTGGCCGTTATGATATGAATAACTTACAAATATTATATTTCTAATTAAACGTCATATGAAAGTCAATAGAATCAATAAATTTTGAATAATAATTTGAGATTACAGCCAATAACACTATTAATATCTAACTTAACTAGTGGAAGCTTTGGAAAATGACTTGAAAGTTAATATCCACGCGTAAAATTACCTAGAAAGAAAAAGAATATCTACGTACTTTTTCCAGGAGCATTGATTTACTAGAATTTTTAAAATAAACATTCCAAAAATACAACTGTTTTGGAAAATAGGAATGATAATCCAACATGTATCATCATATTAAATGCAATTAATTACTTCACTTGGCTTCATGAAAATTTACGCAGATATACTAATTTAACTTCCATCAATCAAAATTACTCTAAAGCATTTTAAATACTTGTCCAAAAATACATTTTTTCATCAATATAAGCAAAAACAATGAAACTTATTTACAATCTAAAGGGTTGATAAATATTGCACATTTTTTTGAAGGAAATATTTTTTAAGAAGAATATAATACCATTATTTAATATTTGACAACAATATTATATACTAACATAAATAGGCTTTTCGACTTATATAAATTGATGTTGATTTATAGTAATAGTTATATAAATTGTTGCAGAATGATGCACTGGGATAAATGATAATATTGGATTCTTAAAAATTTGTAAAAAAATATGTTGCTTCAAAAAAGTAGTAGTTGCAAGACCATACTGAGAAGCTGGTATTACAAAAATGAGATATTTATATGAAATTTGTAATTTTAAATATGAGTCGATTGATAATTCAAATTTGGCATGATATTCTATAATTCGAAAGATAATTTTGCAGATATCATTCCACATCTTGCGCACATCAAAAGTGACAACTGTCTTTTTAGATAAATAAGTTTAAACTTTCACCGAATAACAAACACATATTTATATCACCTAGTCGTAACCAAAAAAACAAAACAACATCAATGATAAACTATTAAACTTAATCTTATCCTTATTACGAATTTTAGAGTTTCGTAGTAAATGTAGATGATAAATAAATTACCATCTAAAAGACCAGATTTTTCGGTTAATAAAAATACAATTATACTCATCTAGATACATGGACAAGAGAGAACCACTCTGTGATTTCATTAGTCAGATCCAAATCGTACAATTTCAGTTCGACACCACCTAAAAATTCATTTTCTTGTAAGGAATCGTGGCTCCATACAGTTGCATGGAGTGTTCGATCTCTTATCACATCCAATGCCATTCGATATTCCAACTATTAAAATAAAAAATCAAGAATTATTAAAATTATATCGTAATATTACAAGAGATGCTCGAATTCAAAAAGTAGCAAGGTAAAACTATGTAAAACTTTAGAAACCATGTTGTATTTCATTCTGTCATTTAGTTCATTCATTCTGTTGATGTCTTATGAAGGCGCGAAGACAGTATGGGCGCGGCGACCCGGCGCTAAAAGGTTCCGGGTCGTCATATCGCATTACAGAGTTGTCTAAGGAGCCAGGACAGTTTTAGTTAGATTGTTTTAGTGGGATAGCAGTGTTAATATGGAGTTTAAACAATGACTATGAGGTATTGTGTCCTATGAGGTATTGTGCTCAAACTGGTTTTAGGCGGTATTTAGATGGCAACCCAATGGTTAACCCAACAATATTATATTATTAAAATTTATCAAATATTTCCAATACATTTTAAGTTTGCTATAGTGAGCCCTCCTCAAAAAAATTAGAAACAAACTTCACTTTTTTTTAGGCATTTGCTTGGCTTGTAGAATATTTATAGGAATTTTGTGTGTACACTATTTTATATATTAAATAAAATGAAATACAATATTTCTAAAAATTATTAAGCCAATTCTTACCATTTCCATAAACGTTGGATGACAACTTCTACGCACAACTTTTGTTTTGCGTTTTGTAACTTTAGATGAATCAGGTTTCAGGTATACCTATCGAAGAATAAAAGCAATTTTAATAACAGAATCAAAAATACTTCCAAATTGTTTTAAAAATTGCAAGGTTAGCAATTCATTCATGCTGGTATCCTACAATTAAAAAAAAATGAAAACGTAACTTCGAAAATCTAATGATGCAAATTAAAAAATGGTAATTTTTAAGCAACATGTCACAAATATGCTGATGACTTTAATGAATTACCCAAAGACTACTTATATTTTACCTTAACATATGTATTTGGTTCCTGACCACCAGCCACCAGAGGTAGACTTCTTGCATGGTGAACCATCACGGTCAAAGTACCACGATGATAGTGCAAAGACAACTTCAACTGACCAGCTAAAAGTGAATGATCTGATCTTGCAGTTGGCCTTCGTTCTGAAAACAATTGTAACATAAAGTAAAACAATATTATAAATGATATTTTTTATGACTCTTCTAACGACCCAATTACACTTAATAATAATATAAAATATTAGCCTCTCTTTATTCTATAATGGACATTGTATTCCTTGTGACACAATTGATGGTGAATACATAAAAATAGAGAACTTTATTCCTAAGTTAAGATTTCCTTAAGCTAACTTTTATTAATGAAAAATTGCTTTATGCAGAGTATGATCTTTGCCCGTAAAATTTTAAATATCGAATCATCCACGTTTTCATTATCAAAATTTTATTAATGTGAATGAACTCATTTAGAGAAATCTGCAATATAAATTTGATCCCACGACCTACTGCATAGGCATAATTCTTCTTATAATTTGATTATTATGCAATTTTAACTAGTGAGATAAAATTTATAGGTTATCGATTGCATTAATTAATTTTATGGTTTAATGAGCACGTATAAAAATAATTGTAGAGTTAATAAACTGCAATATGAGCTACGAAAGTATTTGTCGACACCGAAAATGAAACGCGGCTTGTTGTTTTCAATTATATTAATCGATAATAGAAATCGGTAATATCCACATTAATTTGAAAAATTATCATTTATTAGAAAATGAATTGCACAGTGTGCTCGTCAATTGAAAATAAGAAAAAATAAGAATTAGAAAAATAATATTAACTCATAATATTATTTTTTTCATAATAATGATAATATTAATAAATACAAAATAGAAGATCCATCAGAAAAAACTTTGAAATAAAATTTATATATATTGGAGTCTGAATCTGAATTATTGGAGGTCCTCCTCTTCAATGTGAAGATTCACTGTTAGAAATTATTTACTATTATCAATGCTTTTTTACTTTTAATTCCTTAAAATCTTGCTGATTACTCAAAATCATATTTGAGGTCAAAATAACATATAATTAAGGAAATAAAATATAAATACAACAAGGATATTTTAATTTAAAAAATATTATACTGACAAGATAACGTAGTTAGGTTGAATTAGGAGAATAATTGAGATGTAGAAACATTAAAAGTTAGTTATTTTGAAATTAGAGACTGAAATTCTTAGTAAGAAAAGTGTGAAAAAAAGATGATAATAAATCCTAAATGTGCTTACCTTTGCATTTCAGTGCATGTACATCGCTCTCCTGCTGATCTCTTAGCAAAGGATGGAAGAAGGTGTATACCAGATCAGAATGAGCGATTTCATCAGCTTTTCTGAAGAGCGAAGCCAGGAAAGCTCGGACATCAGCCGCCCTCTTGGCCGCCACTTGCTTGATGTTGGATCTGCCAACGTGCAGACCACTAGGCAAACTGGAATAGAAAAAGGAAAAAATATAGATAGAGACGATATCATTTTAAATTTTATGGCAATTGGGAGTCTTTAAAATTTTATGGAATCTTCCCAATCATTATGGGTAAGCCTCAAACAATAATGAATTAAGAATAGTATGAAATAAATTTCTATTTTTTCATCTATATTGTTTTGCATTGATGAACAGTGTAAAAGTTTAGACCTGTCCTTAAGATCGTGGATTGTAAACAGGGGGTAAATATTGTCTATTTTTATTGAGCTCACATTGCTTTTTTATGTGGTAAATATTGTTTATTTATAGGTAAATTAAACGTGTAAATTAATTATGTTAAATTCTAATTTGGGTGAAATATTGACTATTTATATAGGGCTCATATTGGTTTTGAATGGAAGTTTCAGTTAAGAATTATTGTTTACTAATATTGGGATTATATGGCGCCCATATTGGTTTCGATATTGGCTTTATATGGAAAAATATTAATAGAACAATATTGGGGCAAAATAGTTAAATTATACAGAGCCCACTTAAAAAACTATAACAATTGTCATAAAGAAATAATACGAGTACATGATTAGTTAATATAGTACTTGGTATAGTGTATTTAAGTTAAAATCAAATCCTAATTAGATATGAACAATTTCCTAATTAGATATAAACATTTCTAAGAATCTGCAACGTACGCATGAGAATGAAGACATATTTCTCATTCGATGATTTGACTAAGTGAATTGTTATAATAAAATTCATTTCTACTTGGATGATTAAAACTTTTTATGCTTAATCTTATATGATATAAAAAACAAAAGAATTATTCCAAAATAGCAATATTAGTACAAAATAATCAAAAAAGCATATTTCGTGAAAATTTTAAACTGTGGCCCAATATAACTCTATAGATACGCCAATTTACAAAATTTGTCTCTTGTGAGAAATTTTTATTTATTTGTGAACGACAGATTAGTTATGTCGTGCACAAATAATATTGGCTGTTAGTTGAAATAAATCATCAAGTATAAAATTCTTCATATAAAACATATTTCGCTAGGTTTAAAATTATATTTATTAGTGATGTGCTACTTGACATAAAGAATTCCTATCCCTGTTGAAAGTTCTGCAAGGAAATTATTAATAATCCATCAAAACCGATGAAATATCTTGTAATGTACCAGTTATTATATCCAATATTGTTTAAGGTTTTAATAGATTTCCAACCACAGACTTGCTATATTTGATATTTGTCTTCAAATATAAATTTTATATTATAATAAAAATATAGTATGAATCGGAAACTCTATGAATGAAAGGTGTAAACGTGTAAATTAAATATGCACAATATTATTATAATTATACATATTTATTACTGTTATTAAAAACTATTAACTAAAATTATTAAAAATGTTAACTATATAGTTTCGATAAATGCTCTTATTTATATTTTATCAATAATATAATATATTAAACTTGATCTAAGAATATGACTGGTTTCACTATGGCGCTTTCGACCTAATAATGGGCTTAAAAAGCTTTCTAAAATTAATTTTCTGGTGCAATAGAGATTATATAATTCAATGTTTTTCAAAACAATATTTAGTAAAGCACTGTTAATAAGTCATTGCTTCATTGATAGTTGAATATTTGATTTGAGTTCATTTGTCAATTGTTGAAAATATTGTAATAAAAATGTACAATAATACAATTACTTCAATTGGCATTGAAATTGAATTATTTCAAATGTTTTATACGATTTAGTTTCAAAAGAAAGTACAACAATTTATAGTGAGAGTAATACAGACATATTGTATCAAAGTTAATTAAAATTTAATTAATTACAAGGTAAACTGAGCGTATGATAGTTCAATAATTAGTTTGTCTAGTAATGTCTTGATTTATGTTTCACACAATCAAACAACATAAAAATGTGCTTCAATTAAGAAGAAAATACGTATTTCATATTGCAAATAACAAAAAAGTCAATTTTTAAAATCTCTAACAACGGTCAGCAGATTTTGTATTTTAAAGACTTTTTTATCCTGCAGTTTTACTTGCCCATTTCAGATCAGATGTAAAAAATATATGATAAAAAAATGCAAATCACCATTTACTCAAAATATATGATAATTATTGATATTGACAAAAAGTTAATTACCTAAACATGAGTAAAATTTAAAATTAAACATACCATAATTACTCAATTTACCAATAACGACGTATTACTTGCAATCAAGCATTTTGCAACCAACATGATATATGAAAAACTAACTGCATACAAGCTGCAATATTAACTATTACAGAGCAAAACATGTTTTTATAGAAATGCACATTCAACGTCTAAAATTTTCCATTTAAAATTGACAAATTTACATAATAAAACGATAAAAATACTTTTGTTAAATGTATCAAAATATTTAATTTACAATTTATTACCTGAGCTCTCACCTGGGAAAGAAAGTTCGAACGCTCTATTAAGCAATTTTCGGAAGAATGCGATTGATAAAAAATATATGGAGGTAAAAGAATCACATTGTAAGAATATTTACATGTTAACAGTTTTTTCAGGAATAAACATCCCGAACAAAGTCGTATTATTGTTGCACTATAAACACAATCGTCCGATCGAAGCACGTTGCACACCGCACACTCCACAATATGTTACATTATCACAATAACATTGACATAGAATTTTCTATATATTATTTATAATTTTTAATTCGATTTAATCAATTCGAAAACGTATTGAACACTTAACCTTATCAACAAAAGTGCAATTAAATAGAATATTAGAGGTAACGCGTGAGCTGCCATGTTGATTAGTGTCTTTATTAACTCAAACGTCAAATTCATAAAACTGAAAGTTTCAACGCGAGAAGAAAGTGATCTATTCAGGGAGGGGCAACCTGGGAAAGGAATTAATACAGAACCATTATTCAAATATTTGGTTACTCAACCAAACCTTAAAAAACTTATCAGTGGAAAGTTTTAATAAATGTGCTTTGATATGTGTACTTTAAGAAATATTTCTTTATATAATATCCATTTATTCCATTATTATTAGATAGTTAGTTGATTCATTAAACAAAGAACATCTAACAAAGATACTTGTTCCTAAGGGGGCCTTCATTAATCACGTGATAAATTTTTTAAAGATTCTTGGACCCCCCCTCCCTCTTGGTGATACGCGGTGATATTCAAAATTACCCCCACGTACTTTTAGTTACGAGAAAAAATTGTTAAATTTTGGAATTTCTTTGAAAATGTTTGGATTTAAAAAAAACAGGTAAAAAATAAATACACTTGATATCTTACTATACCCCTCCCTCCCCAGGTGATATTTCGTGATTTTTTTATCAAACCCCCTTCCCCCTAAAAGCCTCACGAGATTAATGGAAGCCCCCTAACAAATATTTTAAAGACAGAACATATACAATTCCAAAACGTCGACGTGTTATATTACTGAATCATAATTAATTTTTATTCTACTTATGTTTAGGTATCTTCAATATTTAAAATAATATTTCAATATTAGTAATTATTCAATATTTAATAATCCTCAACTACTTATATTCAAATAATAAAGCAGACAATTAGTCCAATTGAAATATTAAATATTACCAATAATTTCTTTATAATAGTTTCGAAAACTATATCAAATACGTCTCTTTTTTAGCCAAAAATTAATAAATGTGAATTTGAATGAATACAGAAATAAATGTATTATAAATAAAATTAAAATTATATATAATAAACTATAAAGATCATGATAATAGTGAACTCATTATTTTCAAATAAAACACTATGTATGCCAATTTTTAGCCAATTCAATAATAAAAACTGAAATTGACTGCACGAAGTATTAAAAACCAAAAATAAAAAGAAAAACCGAACCAAAAATGAAAACCAATTAATTTATAAAAAAATAAATGAATATTTTTATTTATTCAGTTTCTTAATTCAATAAACTGGCTACTTTATTATATCCATTACCCATTTCAATTTATATTTATTAATTCATTTAAATCCTGTCTTTTCAATATATTTTTTTTATTAATTATTTCTATTTAGAAATCAATTCAGATAGATCTTTCTACCGCAGTTTTATTTAATATTATAATTTTATGCTTCATTATTTTAATATTTAATTTATTATTACAATTACGTGATTTTATTGCTAATAAACTAAGGAGCATTTTCTGTAAAATGTCATATTAAATTATTGTTCACTAAGTTTTTTAAAAAAAATATTTTTCAGTATTATATAATATGATACTTCGTGTTTTTCAAATATTATTAAGCCAATTAAAAATTGCTATTACTACACGATTACTAGCTCTGTTCGAAAAAAGCCCAACTATACTAGTTTATAAATTCCACATTGAAGAATTGTTTTCACATATATCTGTAGAGTATTTCATAATAATAACTTGGGATTTATATTTATTATAATTTTATAATTGATTATATAGTTATGCGAAGAAATTTGCCGCCTATTTTATCAACCGCAAAACATTATGAGTTGCGGATTTGATACACCAAAGTTTGTAAGCAAAACTATGATAAAAAAATTTCGGATAATACCACAAAGACAAATAAATTTAAAAAAATAAATATGAACTTTTATTATTTAATTATTTATTTAAGTTATTTTTTTATACAAAAAAACGTGATAAAATATAAAATATAATACATACTTTATTAAAAATATATATTATGCATTAAATAAATAAATAAGATGAAAGCACAAGGAATAAAGCTCTGAGCTTTTTTTATAAGATACGACGCAGAAATCGTACATTAGTTTCAAATGATTTGATATTTCATGACGCAAAAGCTTTCTATAGCAGTACATTTTTTTTCAAAAACAATGTCAACAAAATAAAAAAATTATTTATTTCAACATGCTAATTTACTTATCACGATATTGTTTCATGACAAAGTGAATTGAGGAAGCACGAATAGAAAATAATTTGTTTCTGTATATGGATAATTTAAAATAATTAACAATATGTTTTGAAGATGTATCACATATAAAATATTTAAAGAACCAAATAAATAATGATGTGGATGTATGAAAATATAGGGTTCTGTTGTGGTTCTTGCTTGTTAATTATCACTTGTTATATTGACACTATGTTTTATTTATTTTATAAAAAGTTATTGACACTCTGTTTTATTTTATTGATCATTGATAAATTTATATAACTAACACACCTCATTTGAAACTAGCGTCAAACCTGTAATAATCCTTTGTTATCTAATGATATGAAAACACAATGCAAGCTATCGATCTGTTTATTTTAATTTCACGCATTGATAACAATTTCAGCGTTTAGAAATGTTATTTGTTCGATAGCTGGAAATAAAAAAATTCTAACGTAAAATTTATAACATTAATCATTTTTTGTACATCCTGGTCGCCCGTTATTTTAAATCTTTACATAATATTTCCGATAAAATTCTAACGTAGAAATTCTATAGTTTTACAGTATAAATTTTCCCATACGTTGCACAAATTTCTTAAAAATATTTCTCAGCTAATATATAGATAGAACAATTATTGATTGATTGAATTGGAAATTGCCCAAGAATAACATCAACAATTTCTGGAAACACTTTAAAAATTCTGTTGGCTTATAATACAATATATTACCAAACTCAACATTTCGTAGCAATAGTATATTAAACGATTATATGTAATTTTGATACAAATTACACAACAAAAAACTAGGTTTTAAAATATACAAAAATCAATAAAAATAATTTCAAAATTATAAAACTTTACTACCAACTATAACTAATATATAAACTATTATAGAGAAGATTTTAAATCACCCTTGAATAAAAAAAAAGAATTTTAATCAACCGAACCAACCCCGTAAGAAATATTAAATGACTCCTTTTGCGGAAACTTTTGTTTTACATTTATTGATAACACAAGTTTAGATATAATTTTCACTGAGATATTTATTTCAATCTAATAGTAGCTCAAGACAGTAAAATTGATATAATTTGACTTATTATGTACTGCAATAATATAGTATACATAAAATTATATAGAATTACATACGTAATCAGAAGTGAACGCATGGAAAGTCGAGCTCAAATTAATTTGGCTTCAAACTATATATAATTAGCACTTTATTCCGGCATATGGGTTATTTATGTCGATTATAATTAGGTAAGTTTGCGCAAAGAAATGCATTTAAGAATTATAACAATAACACTAACATATACGCAATATATATACATATATACATACACATTTATACCTAAATTATTTACTCTATTTCTATACATTTTTTGCAATGTAAAGTCTATTACCCCGACTACAGTGTCTCGTCATCGGCTTTGTTCCAATATCACAACAATTGTTAGGAGGTAATAAAAGTAATAAAACGTTATCAGGGAGCAAATATTTAACATAATGAAAAAATAAGACGTTATTTTTTTGTCATAGAATTCATTATAATTTAAAACTAGAAGTATGTTAAATCTTAAATGTTAAGAACTACCGTAAAGATGTATCCGTAAGTGAATACTCACTTGAGAAGCTGAAGGCAAAATTAAGAACTTATGTTATATTTAAAAAAATAAATCAAATACTCCTTCCTTTAGAGTAGACCAAAGTTAGATCATTCTAATTATAGCTTAACCCTTTTCACTCGCGAATTCCGAGTGGAAAGGGTTAAATTATAGATAATTTAAGAGTATTAAATTAAGAGCTTTTTATTAGCCTCGCATACTTAGAGCATTTATCCATTTATTTTTACTTTGTTTGTACATTTGATACTATTTTTAGATATTTTTTTTTAGTCAACATATACTATCTTTATATACCCTATATGATCCCATTTCCTTTACAACTGACTTTTTCATTCTACTTCATATTCTAACCTTGCTTCTACTTCATTTAATTCTAATTCTATATTCTATCTCAAATCAAAAATTCATGTTTACCTAATTTCAATCCTACCAAACCCAACAAATCAAATGACTATTCTATGTCAGTGCCAAGACTCGAACCGAATATCCTTGAACGATGTGAGTCGGGCATGCTACTGACTAAGCTATTCCTGCCACAAATGAAAGTTGTAAGGAAAAACAATCAAAATGCCCTTTATAACTATAACAAACAGATTGCCCAAACCATTGGTTAAAGAAAAGTCTCCTCTTATTTTCATTTTTGAAAGTATTGAAATATTGAAATTATAAAGAAATAGCAAAACATTGAAGA